TAGCATTGCAGTGTCAGAATAGGGCTCAAATCACAAACTTCCTGTCTCATTGCTTTGGTTTAGCCTATTCTTCCCCAGGAAAGGAACCTGTGACAAAATCTGAATCAAGCCCAGTGTCAAATATCACTAAGGCCTGGCAGCATTCCCAACAGGGTTTCTGTTTAAGAGATTGTTTCTACTTGCAGATTTTTCTATAGTGCATCACTATAGGATCTGGGCCCCTCCTGATATCATGGTAAAACCCTATATAAAGACAGTTGTGACTTCTGTAAAGATTTTTTCTTGGCCTGATAACTTTCCTTCTGAAACCATCCTCTCTGTTTATAGGCTGTGCTCTGGGTGGGGATTTAGTACAAATCTCTTTAAAAGCCCCAGTAGTTCCTCCTCGAGGCCAAATCTGGGCTCTAACACAGCTGCTGCTGTCCCAGCTGGACATGGTGGATCTTGGCAGCAGAAGTGTGTTCCAGAGTAGAGAGACCATGTGGGAGGGTGCTTTATGGTCCTGGAGGATTTTTGTGTAGGATGGGTGAGCTAGCGGGTAGCTTAGGGCTGGGGTGCAAGAGCTCATGAAGGTAAACTTCTTAAAGGGCATTTTCTCTTCTTTATTCTTTGAAAGCAAATCTAAGGTTTCAGACTGCCTGAAACTCTAGCTAGTAAAGTAAATTTTGCGATGGAGTGGGGGAAGATTGTCTTTGAGAGCGAGAGTTGTGCTAATTTATTGCTTTGGTTTTGTCCCTTGTTTTGCTTGTAAGCACTTCAGTGTGACATCCATGTACCAAATCTCAAAGAATTTCCCAGACTGCAGCCAGTTCCTGTAAAGGTACTGTTTGCCCAAAGACATTACCCCAAAACATCTCATCCTTGAACCAGGGAAATGAGGAGTCATGTTGAGTGAAAGTAACTAGAGGAATTTGAGAGAGAAAAAAATAACTTCTGTGGGAATGACTTTTCACAGGTTAACATATTTCATGGGCCACTTGGATTTCAGGTGACTGAACCGTGTTGGAAGCAGATGCTGTTTTCTTCTTGTTCCTGTGTTTGCCACTTCCATTTTTCAGCACTTGTTCTCCACTAAGCTCAAAGAGGCAAAATCAATAGTGCTCCAACATTAATAATTGAGCAAAGCAGGCAGCCAGCTGAGTAAACCCCATCTCACTTGAAATCAGAGCAGTTACTTCCAGCTTGAGCTAATATATCTGAGAATTAGGTGCAGACTGAGGTGGAAAATGGGATAAAACCACCAAAATAAAATAAAAAAAACAAACAGCTGGCCCCCCCTTGTGCTGTGCTGTCATGATTCTCACCAAAGGAGAGGCAGAAGTGAATAAGGATTGCTCTCCTGAATCATTCTGTATCGAGGTGCAATCAGGCAGAATGGTTTGAAAGCATCTTTAGTTTGTAGGAATGAACTCTCCAGGGGTCTGAGTGCTATTTCCAGGTTTCATCCTAAAGCTTAAATCATGCACTTATTGAGAGGTGGTCATATAAAGTACATGAAGAACAACTGAGTCTGACAAATAGCTTTTAGCTTGAAGAGTGGAAAAAAAAAAAAGTGGAAATAAACATTCTTCTGGAAGTGTTTCTGAAGGACATTTGGATACTCTCGCAATGTAGGGTGAGAACCCCACTAGAATATGGTGTTCCACAGCATCCCCTCACTGAAACGCTGTCATCTCTGGAAAAATCTGCAGTAAACTTCCAACACCTCTGGTGAAATTACACAGTGCTTAAGGGACAGGGTCTCCTAATCCCAGTAAATCATCAAGCAGTAGGATGGCTCCACTACCCTGGTGGCTTCTGCAGTTTATGATGAAAGTTGCCCACAAGGTGCCTTCTTTGAAAGTACTGTGTTTGGAAATATCTAGATCAAACCTACTCATAAATATTCAGACCAGGGGGTTTCTCTGAGGAATAGTCTCATTTTAGTGGGGCAGACTGTCTATTGATGGACTTGTCAGTAAAGGCATAAATCATATCTCAGATATCAGGATATAGCTGGCAAAGGAATCCCATGAGGATTAATGCCAAGATGTCAGCTATCCAGGAGATACATGATAGCATCACTGCAGAGCCAACAGACACAAAATACTCTGTAAAGTTTTTCTTCCTTTCATGGGATCTCCAGGGTTCCTTCTGCAATGAGTCCAGGAGAAGTGCTCTGAATCCTAAGCAGTGTGAGGAGGCAGACAGCCCGATTTAAAGGTTTTTAAATGTTGCTGAGGGATGGGAGCATCTGCAAGGACAGCACTCCGGGATGATGCCGAACACCCTCCAGCTTAGGGCTTTTAGGTGCTGTGTTGAAGGCAAGCAGTGTGATGCACCAAAGCAGTTATCCCAAGAAGAACTGCATGCCATTTCTGTAAGGAGTAAGAATGGTGTGCCATTTCTGTAAGGCATAAGAATCAATAAAACATTATGTACTGGTGTGTGGGGAAATCGCACTACTGTGTATCAAAGTTTTCTTGAAAGGGAAGACACAAGCTCCAGTTTTGGACCCAGTTTGTAGTTTGGATAAAGCCTGTGAGTTTCCTAGAAGCTCAGCTAGTGCTGCATTTCAGCAGGGTGGAGTTTGCAGCCTTTCTCCTGAACAGCAGAACAAGATCAAAGCCTTTAATTTTCATGACTTGCAATGTGCATTTTAATTATTTCTTTTCAATGGCCTGCAACACAAGAAGAGTTGTAGCATGAAGAGATCATGATATTCGTAAGCAAATGAAATGAAAGCTTTGCTAGACCCATCTGTATCTCCTCTCCCAGCTCTATCTTTCCCCTGTGGCTTTCTGAGCAGCAGTTGGCAGTATGTGTGAATCCAGTAAAGCCCTGCAGAGCCAGGGGAAACCCAGGAGGCAATTAATTAATCTTGAAACAGCACAGCCTAAACAGTCACCAGTGACCTGGAGTGTCTGTACAAGAGAGTTTAGGTAATTGTGCTGCCAACTTGCCATCAGGGCAGAGTTTTTATGAATAATTTTTTGCAGTGAGCAGCAAATATTGTCTTTAAATGTGTCAGCGAAGGAGCAATTGCATGGCTGTCAGCTGCAGCAAGCATTTCTGGTCTTGTAGGTGCTGCCCATCAGCCTTTGAGACCAATGCGGCTCCGGCAGAGGCCACTAGGTTGGGTAAAAACCTCCAACCATGAACATGAGGGCCAGAGGAAAGAAAGGAAGAGTAGAGGCTTGTTCGTCCCTGATAATCCACTCGGATGTGTGCAGCCTGGAGGTGTACAGCTGGGATGAAAAATAAGACCATATAACATGATTCAGCTGATCCCAAGCAAAGGTTAGGGGCGAGGAATTCCTACGTGAGCAGAGGGAAGCTTCTCAGGGAATTTCCCCTGGCTGCCTTTCAAAGTTCTGGCTGCTGCATCGTGACCTGTGAGGCATTTGTTTGGTTTGGCTTTTCTTTTCTTTTTTTTCCCCCCCTCATTCTTTTTTTCCTTTCAGTTCTTGTCTGTTTTGTTTCTGGAAGAATGACATCCTGGCCCCTCACATTTCTGGAGGCAACACACACATTCCTTGCAGCTCTGTGTTACCAAGAGGACAGAAAATATTCTTCATAATTACACATGATTTGACCATTCCAGCATTTCCACCTCTTCCCAGAAGTTTTATTATCATAATTAATTTCTCTGGCATCTACTTACAGCTCTAGGCATTTTCCCAAACCTTTAAACACACAGTTAGCAGTTCTGAACATTTCACTACTGTATTTCTTTTCCTCAATTTGCTAGTTATAAATTCTTTGCTAGTAGACTTTCCTATAACATGAGCTTTATTGATGGTAGTCCCCATTACTGTAGTATCACGACACTCCAACAAATCTCTGCTTCACCACAGCACTGTGATCAAAGAAAATGGTGTTTTCTCTAGTTACAAATGGAAATCTGGGGTACAGCGGGACGAAGACTCATATTTTTAGGTATTTATTTGGTGACTTGCCCGAAGTATCACAGTGTGAGGAAAGAGAATTACACTCTGGTATCCCAACTCCAAGTCCCTACCTCCTGGGCCAGCTTGGTATTACTGTGTTTCAGTGCATTTCTATTTCATTTCAGAAAACATTCTGCAGTTTCCAGTCTATGTAGGACAAATCACTTTCTCAAATGGCTTTAAGGAAAGGTGAACCAAGAGGAAAGTGATTTTAGGAACCAAGGATTCCTCTTGGGAAATTATCTTCTACTACTTCTGAATATTGCATATAAAAAGATCTTTTCCTCAAGAGAGATCTGAACTCTGATCTGAACCGTGGAGAATTAATCATATCATATCTATGTGTGATTGCACTTGTCCATAGTAAATTTCTTTGATCTCAGAGGGATGTAAGAGAGATGATCTCAAACAATGTTGGATTTTAATAGCCAACCCAGCTCACATTAAAAACATCAGTTTCAGCCTCCTGTTGATTTCTGTGAGAGTTAGTAGATTATTGAAATGAGAAACTCCAAGCACAACTCTGGGGTGATTCAGTGTAATCCATCAGTCACCACACAACAGGCAGAGCTGTACATTAGCCTGAACTTCTGCATGTCCCCTGGAACGGCCATGTACAGCAGAGGTGGAATTCATCCTACCTCTACCATTACAAATTCATTGCATAGGCTGCCAAAGTCTCACAAATTCTCACTTTTCATCTATTTAAGCCCAACCCCACGTAATGCTCTCAACATGACTCACAAGACCCACAGGTATCCTCAGTCTGAATGCAAGCCACCCGTGTCTGGAATGGGAACAACAGTCTCAAAAGCAAAGCTGCTGATGGAGATACCAAAATCTTGTCAGACCAAAACTGAGCCAAAAGTCAGGTTTCAACCTATGCAGAACTTGGCCAAGCCTTACTATTAATTTGGCTTCCAACACAAGCAGCGCAGCACTGTAATACAAAACTCCCTTGGTGGGTAAACCATTTTCCATGTACTCTTGAATTATAGCTGAGTAGGATTAGAAATGTCCTGGTGTGGGCAGGTTTCTCCAATGTCAGAGAGAGAGCAGGTTCTCCTGGCTCAGCACCATGAGTTCTGGGGTGGTTCAGTGTGAGAAGGTGCTGAGCAGCCTGGTGGGGTCTCCAGTCCTATCAGGCTGTGCTCCCAAAACTCTCACAGAAGTGATCACCAAGTCCATCACGCCTGGAAAGAGCAGCTTGCCAGGCTTAAACATGCTGACTAGTGGTACCCAACACTGTCCTGAGTAATTTCACTTCATTGACTCCAAATATGGTTTTAGCAACTAACAGGACAAGGACTTAAAACAAACAAACAAACAAACAAAAGAATCAGCCTCAAAAGAGGAATAAAAAGCACTTCAAAGCATTTTGCTTACATTAATTAAGCTATATGTCTGTGTCAGTCCATGTCAGCAAACACAAATTCAGCAATCCTTATCTCTGCAGCTGATAAAGGTCTAATTGCCTGAGAAATGTACAGCCCTTGGGACTGCAGTGGCAAAAGTAATTTCCTTCTGCACAATGGAACCTTAACGAAAGCCCCTCCTGCTTAATGAGAGCAGGAGAGATTAAGGGACAAAGGTAGGGATGTGGAGCTGGGCTGCAGCCAGAGGGGGGCTGCATGGGGTGGGTGGGGGCCAGAGGAGCCCCAGGCAAGCCAAGAGGTGTCTGTGCCATCCCTGCTGGTCTGGGGGACCCTGCCACATGCCCCAAACACGGGTGCCACCTTGGGGCAGCCTCCAGGATTCCTCAGAGCTGTCAGTCCTCCTGGGGGGCAACCAGGTCATTGCCAGCAAAGATGAACTTGGGCCCCACCGCTGCCTCCACTTGCCTGAACAAAATTTGGCCACTTGTTGCCAAGGCATTTGGGGATGAAAGTGCCGGGATTGAGGAGAGAAAAAGTGTTAGCAACAACAGTGTTTCTTTGTTTCAAATATAAGAGTCAAATTTAATGCAGAATACAAAGCTGACCCTGGGGTGAAAGACATCACTGAGCGTCCTCAGAGGCCCTCCCACGCCTGAGCCCAACCCAGCAAATCTTTGATGCATTAGCATTTAAAAGTGAGACAGAGGGAAACTCCCTCCTCACAAATTGATCTAGGGAGAGAATAAAACAGCAGAAACAGCAAAGGGTGCTTAATGTGGATTTTGCAGCAGATATTGATACGGGAAAATCTCCCCATTTCCTTTCTGATTCAGAAATAAGACTTCATGGACACAGAGATAGTCCTGAAAGAGCTAACGAAGCATAAAGCTGAGTGAGAGGAATCACGTTTTGGGGCTGTTTGCAACAACATTTTCTCCTTCCCCCACCCCCCAATCAAAAAAAGAGGAGTTAACACCTGGGCTTGCTTTGCTATGCCATTTTTCACCGTTTGCAGTTGTTCTCAGGGGAATCAAAGTGACAGATTTATGCAAAGTTGCAGTTTGGATCTTTTCTTGCCCTGGAGCAAGGCTTTTATCGGATACTTTTCTCCCCCCCTTCATGAGGGGATGGTGAAGAGGAGGAATGCATCACACTTGGGAACGACAAAGAAAAGGACCTTTCACAGCTGTTTCCAGCAGCCAGGATATATTTAATCTGAACTAGAGATTAACATGCACCTCTGTGAAAGAGACATTTTCCTTCCCTCCGTGGTTGTTCTCACCTGTGCAGCAGATGAGGCTTGGTGATGAACCTCAGCAGTGAACTTGTGGTGAGGGGATGGAGGGCTGCCATGGGAAGGCTGCAGGCAAGTGACTCAGTGCTCTTATTCACAGAAACTCCTGCAATGGATTGACCCTCCAAGAAATGTGGACAACTTCTTTGGGCTGTCTGCATTGTGAATGCCACTCCTAAGTGTTTCAGAACCTCAGGCTGTGCCTGTGCCCAGCTCCAGCTCCAGCAAGCCTCTGCACAGCAGGGTTTTTAGCAGGGTATCTGCAGAAAGCAGATCTTCTCTAACTATTGCACTGGAGATGAGATGAGCAGAGAAGGTGTTTCCTGGTGTCTCAGTGCTACGTGAACATGGATGCAAATGAGCAATGGTAAATCTTCAGGAGCAGGAGAATGCCTGCAGTCTCCTAAACCTTCCTTCAGGGCGGTGAGCCAGGAGCAGCAGTTTGGAATGTGCCCTCCTAGAGAGCAGTTATGTTTTATCTCCACTGCTCAGTGTGCAAATGCCATGAAATCCCCTCTCCTTGAATCTGTAGGTATTTGAGAGGTAAAACTTGAGAGACAGAACTATTAACACTGGTATAGGCTTTCCTGTGATGCTTGTCTCCACATTATCTGAGTGCCACACACACTTTAGTGGATGTAAAGTCACAATCCCTTTATGTAGTAAGAAGCTGGTACCTGTGTGACCTACCAGGCCTGGCATTTTTGTCCCCAAATCTTATTCTTCCAGTCAATCTCTGTCTCCATCCTTATGTTTCAGTCCAATATGAAAGTCTTGCCTCTACTCATAGGAACAGAGTCTTCTACACAACTAGAAAAAATAAATTACTCTTTAGACTGCCCTGGTGAAGAGACCATTGAAACCTTTTGTGCAAAAATCTTACCCAAGACAAACATGTAAAATGTGATATTTCAGCCTGAACACCTAATGCAATCCAAAGAGGAGCCAGGCAGCTTTGCTGACATGTGATATAATACAGCAAATCATTTGCTTTGGCTGCTGCTGGACCTTGTAGCCTTCATTGGCTCCAACACCCCATGCTTTGTACATGTGTCACCAACACCTCAAATGGTAGCCAAGGGACAGCTGTCCTGGCTTGACATCTGACCTCGTGTGCTGCTGTGTGTCTGCAAATGCACCTATCTATGCACAGCAGTGAAGCAGTTGGGCTCTGCCACTGGGTCATCAGCAATGGCATGGATGAGTTTCACTTGGCAGAGACAGGTTCAGAGGTGGGTCTGTGGTGATGCTGTGTGTGATAATCTCATTGCCAAGGAAGTCAGGAGCAGGACTAAATGACCAACAGTTACCCACCAGCAGCACTGCCCTCATTGCTGGCCTTCAAGTGAATCCTTCATGAATGTTGGTGGCACTGCTAACCCAGCTCCTGAGAGAAGCAATTCCCCTGAGTCAGGAGGACAGTTGTGCTCAGCAACAAGCCAGTTGATTGCCATGAGGAGAAGGAGCAACCTCTGGTGTGGGAGCTGGATCAGAGCCCATTTCACTGCCTTGGCCATGTGCTTGGGTTAACTCACTGGGTTAAGAGTAGTTTTTTTATCCTTTGGTAAGGGTAATTTCTAAAATCCAAACCTTCCGCACAACAGCAGGGGGGATGTGCTTTCACATCAGCTGCTCTGTGGATAGAGTGGTCGTGTCAAAGACCTGCAATACTCTGTTCTAGAGCATACCAGAGAAGAACAAGACCTACTTAAGGCAGAAAAATACAGAACCCCTATGCTAATGGAGGAGGGCCTTGACCCATTTTGTAAGGTTGGTCTAGACGATTTGATGCCCTCTCAGTAGCTGCTTAAGAGAGAATCTTGCTGCCTGGTGGTTGGGGAATAGGTAGTTCATGGGGAGTGGACACATCTCATGTAAGTGTTGCTGGATATTGGTGGGAAGGTTATGACCCTCCACTGTCAGGGACACAGCTTATAAGGCCACCCCAGACAAGAAAATCCACTTTTCTCCTTCTCTTGGTACTTCATTTGAAATGACCCAGAAACAGAAGTAGGTGTGGGGATGCCCATGAGACAAAAGGCAGGGGCTGATGGTGGGGCCGTGGTGGGGCAAGCAGAGCAGCTCTGTGGCTTCAGGAAGGTCAGGAGCACAGGGGGCAGCTGAGAAGGAGGGCATGGCACTCAGGATAGGCCCAGCTTTCTGCAGGACAAGAGGCAGTGCAAGCTGGCCAGCACGAGACTGCTGGGCAAAAGCTGGCATTACAGAAGAGCTCCTGTGGGGACGTGCAGGAGTCTCTGGTGGTGTTTGTACTGGACACTTCCAATCAGTGACCAAGGCAAAAAAAAAAAAAAAAAGGCCTAGGATTCTCATTGTTCCTTCTTTCTTTTCTTGTCCCAGTTTCTCAAGTTGTACCATATACTGTTCAATTAGTTAATTCCTTCATTTGCTCCTTCTTTGCGTAAAATTTTCCTTGACAAGCTGCTTCCCTCACTGCCCTTTCCTTCCTGTACTGAGTCTCTTCCTTCCACTTCCTCTGCCTTTTTCGCAGTTTCTGACTTTCTCTTGGGCTCTGCATCCCGGCATCTGCCTCATCCTCATGTTATTTCCTATCCCTTTATCTGTGGGACTTCAACGCTTCCATCAACGCTGCCTCCACACAATCCTAAACATCCACTGGTCAGACTATGTGACCAACACATCTGTTTTAGAGCAAGCAACTGTCACAAGTATTGAGGCCATGTTGCTGAGAACACAGCTGTGATGGGCAGGGCACATCTCCAGAATGAAGGACCACTGCCTCCCTAAGATCCTGCTCTATGGTGAACTTGCCACTGGCTGCCGCAAGAGAGGAGCCCCGAAGAAAAGATACAAGGACTCCCTGAAACAACATCTCAGCCTTGGCCATATTGATCACCATAACTGGTCTACTCTGGCCTCCAATCGGGAGGCCTGGAGACACACCATCTATAACACTGCTGATGCTTTTGAGAACACACGCAGGATCACTCTTGAGGAAAAAAGGCAATGCAGAAAGATCCGTATATTGCAGAATACACCATCTAAGGAATCTTTCTGCTGTGCCTTTTGTAATCGGATATGTTTGTCACGTATTGGCCTCATAAGCCACCAGCGTGCCTGTAACAAATGTGGATAGAGCCTTCCCAAATCTTCGTTTGCGAAGCCTAGCCATGATGATCTGTGGGACTTCATGGGGTGCAGGGGCATTTCTAACCCCTGTAGGACTCTACAGTAATCTACCACTAAGTAATCTGTGCTGCCTTGCCCCTCTTTCCCACAAGTCTCCCCCTCCAGGTGTGCATACACATCTGTACACAAGGCATACGTACCCCCAGAGCCAGGAGATTGAAGTCAAACACAGTTCAAGGAAATACCAGCTTCAGTGGGATTCCCCCTTCCAAATCCAGAGCTCCTTGGGTGTTGCACGAGACATGGATGGCACACAGTTGTTTTCCTTACCACATCCCTGGAAAACAAAATCAGGTACTTCATTGATTAATGCAGTTCGAGAGAAGAGAACGATGCTGAAAATTAAGCATCTCTTGGTTTATAATGAAAAATATTTTAAGTAAAAATGCTTTAAATTACATAAAGGTGTTTTGTAAGAGAACTGTCATATACCATAAGACAACTTCACGGGAAAAACATCTGTAATGAGAAACAAATCACACTGACCTTTGCTATAGGGCTTGAAAGCAGGGTTCTTTGGGATTGTGGAGACTCATTTGCCCTCCAGCAGTGGAAGAATTAAGATGTTATGTTTAACATAAACAAGAGAGGTTTAATCCCAAATCCTTGTGTGAGAGCACTTTGTGTTCTCTTAAAAGTTCAGTAATTCCATAAGCAAGATGGACAGTTGGGTTATTTTAGTCTCAATGAAAGCAGGGGAGGGACAGAAAGGATGTCAAAGGGAATTAACTCATCAGAGTAAGAACCCAGTTGTGAAAACTGAGCAGAGTGTGAGTTCAATTACATTAACTATACATGGTGCCAAGGTCTCTCGTTATAAGATGCCCTTTTCCCCTTTTTGTTCTATCCAGGCAAACTGCAAGAAGAAAGGTTCATCTGCATGGGATCATCCCGAGTCAGGGCTGAGCAGCCTCCTGGACACATGTGCCCACTGCTGTTGGGTCAGTAATAGCATGAGAGTCATGATTCTCATTACCTTGTGGAATCCACACAAGATCCTCTGAGATCAGATGCTGATCAGTGATGAAGGAAAGGTAAGGTGGTTTCTGCAGACTGAAAGGCCACACAAGTCTGTGTTGACTCTGGTGACCTGCCTCTTCTGGATGTACCTGCACTTCATCTCTGCACCAGCAAAGACAGAGTGGCTTTTGTTTGGCAGCATCTTGGCCCTTTTGAAAGTCAACCCCTTCCACAACTCAGGGTTGTCCTCCCTCTCTTCTGTTGGGGCACAGAGGAGAGGCAGCCCAGGCAATCTGTTGCCATTCAGCAACACTAAATTAATTTCAGAAGACCGTGTCAAACATGTCTTCTGTGTCAAACATGCCAAATGTGACTCAAAAGTTCAACTCTTTGAAAACATAGGAGAGATAGGATATAAATCCAGAAAACTTGAGATATTAAAGCAAAACCAAAACATTTCACATCTCCATCCTTTTGTCCCGACAAGAAGTCAAAGTCCTATGATATCGCTGTTGGATTAGGACTTAAACACGTGGCATCACTTTCTTCATCACTCCCCTGTGATCCTGCAGCTGAAGAGACCAGTGTGAGTAACTGGGTGCTGGAGGGATTATTGCTCTGGCCTGAAATCAGGCCAGAATTGCATTCACTTGGTGGAGTTAGGATTGAAGTGCAAATTGTACTTCGCTAGTACGATTTTTCTTCAGGAGTGACCAATGGAAACTGCTCCATACTTCTGTAAGGCTGGCCAGTAGGAAAAATGTGGTTCTTGGAAAAGGGAGCAGAAAACCAAACAGAAGTGGTGGCATTGCCCACTCCCTGGCTCTTTGGAGACCAGGCTCTATGATCCTGAGTTCATCTCTGGTGTCTGCAGAAGAAAAGGTTGCTGAAAATCTGGGGCAATCAAGCTACAACAATGACTGATAGTCTGGTCATCCTGCCACCAAGTGAAAGAAACTGTATTCAGTTTATTCAAGGGGATATCTGATTATTGGATTATAAATGTCAAAACTGGGTGAGAATTTCTAATAAAAGGGTTCTTTTTTCACATAGCAGACAACAGCGCAAAATGAACCCATGGCTGGAGGATGAAGCCAGGCAGATCCGGATTGGGATGAAGTATAAGATTTCAGTATTGAAACAACTGATTAAGGGATGATCTAACTTCTCCACCACCTGAGATTTTAAAGTGAGAGTTATATGTCTTTCTTCCACTCTCTTGTTCTAAGTTCAGTTATGATCATGACACGGGAGTCCCTGGGTGGCATCATCTAGCCAGAGTGGTCAGATTAGACTTTTCTAACAGCCCCTCTGCCTTTAAAGTCTCTGATGTTTAAGAAGTGCATTTACCTGAACCAGAGTTCACCCCAGGGACAGGGGAATTGAGACATCTTTATTCATTTCTCCCCAGCTGTGGGAATGATCTGTTTAGATATTTTTCCCATCGTCAGTTGTGTCAGTGGTATGTGTTATGCAGATGTGTGTCCACTGGGAGCTGCGCTCAGACAGCGCAGTTCACATTGATTTATGAACAGACTCACGAGCGCAGAAACTTTTGGCCTCTGCTGGCTTGGGCTGGAATCAGCTTGCATGTTGTTGCTATTCTTTATTCTTGGACCTGCAGCCATGGCTCATGAACCAGATGCTGCAGAAATGCAGAGCTGAGGAGGTCCTTGCCTCAGAGCTCTTCAGAAAGAGCCTGGCATGAAGCAAGGGGTGGATGTTGGTTGCCAAGGGAGTCCAGGGAAAAGATGGGTGGTAAACATGATCAGTCATGATGAGCTGGAAAAGCAGTGGATGTGGTAACAAGTTGGGTAGGCACTGGTGGGCCAAGGCTGGGTTTGTCCAGAAAAAGTTGCTGCAGGACTCAAGCCATGAGAGGCAAGAGCATTTTTGTTGTGTAAGTGATAGGAAAGGCACATGTGGGGGAAGCTACAGAGAAAGTGTCTAGACAACTTTGAGAACAGAGAGTAAAGTCTAAGGTGAGGATGACATCCAGGTTGTAAGTCCAAGTGATGGATAAGAGGAGGTGATAGTGCCAATGATTACGAAAGGGATAAAGGATCACTTGGAATGAGAAAAACAGTTCACCTTCAGCCATGATGGGTCAGATGTCCCCAGATGTCAGGGAGCCAGAGTAAGATAGGAGTTTTGGTTTGGAGACAGTTAGCAGGACAGAGGTCCAGAATCAAAGGAAACTGCATTTGAATTGTTGAGATTTGTCACAGATCAAGGAAAAGGAAAAGGAGAGCCACAGTGATGGCGGGATGAAGAAGGGATATTGGCTTCAAACTGAAAGAGAGTAGGTTTAGATTAGATGTTAGGAAGAAATTTTCTACTCTCAGGGTGATGAGGCACTGTGGCAGGTTGCCCAGAGAAGTTGTGGATATCTCCTGCCTGGAAGTGTTCGAGGCTGGATTGGATGGGGCTTTGAGCACCCTAGTCTAGTGGAAAGTGTCCCTGTCCATGGCAGGAGGTTGGAACTTGATGATCTTTAAGGTGCCTTCCAACTCAAACTATTCTGTGATTCTTTGAAGATGGACAGGGAAAAGGGAAAAGGCCAGAGGGGGGCAAGAAAGGACATAAAAATAGAATGAAAGTGTAGGCAAAGATCCCCATCTATACCAACTCTTTGATCCTTCTACTCACTTTTTCATTCAAATTCTAAGTGGTATTACAGAAAGTCTTTTTACTGCTGTACATAAAGTAAATCTTTCCAAACTCTTTAAGACAGCAGTATTCCCAGCTGATCCCCAAAGACAGATCTTGTTTCTTCACAATCATAATTACTTCAAAAGAAAAAGATATAAAGAACTATGGCCAGGGAATGTGATTTTTTTTTTTTTTTAAGTAGAAATCACCCAGCCCAGCCATTGGTACAAAAATAGTTAAATATGATGGACCAAATATCAAACTATGACAAGAATGACTCGAATTAGAGAAGCATAGATAGGAGAAGCTAACAAAAACATCTCTTCCTGTGGGGACACTAACACAGCCAAATATTCATCTTTGTAGGTCACCCAGTTTAAAGAGGGATGGGCAGGGGGAAAGAAATCTGGGTTTGATATTTTGTACCCTGGACTACAAAGGAATAACTGCGAATATATAAATAAAAGACAGCTGGGCTGAGGTTTCAGATCACCTACACCCATCAGAAGGGCAGCCAGACGTCGAGCACAGTGCTCTCCTGTTTGATACCTGGCCTAATGCTCAACTCTGTCAATACTTTAAAGGCAAAGAGAGAGACAGAGCAGAGATATGTTTTATTAAAAGGCTTAAATCATGTGCATTGCCACAGAAACAACAAAGAAAATGACATAGCCCAGAGGGAGAAACCTTTGGTTTAAATATCTATAAAGACGTTGTGGCCTAAAAGGAAGAGCTCCTGCCTGGGAAAACCATGAGCCTGTCATAAAGCCTACAAGACTACCTAAGAGGAGGAAGTGAATGAATGACTGTGGCACATGGATGAGTGGCTGAAAGTGCAGCCTGAGCAGTAATTGGCTCTATTGGTGCTCCTCTGATTAGCTGGTTTTGGCTACAGCACTCATCAGACCCACGCTGAGTTCACAGCACAAAAGTATTCACTCTGCACTGAAGAACATCTCGGATCAGCCAGTGGATCCCTGCAGAGAAACAGCAAACACAGATCTGAAGGATGTGGTCTCCAGAGAGGGTTTCCAAATCTTTACTTCATGTCACTAATTCCTTATCCAGAGCTGGAAAAGAAAGGACTCCTGGAATGGATTCCTGTTACTTTTCACTACCTCAGAAATGAAGGAAGAGATGAGAAAAATTGATGATTCTTCTGTGGAGAGAAATTTAAAAGCTAAATCACATTAATTACTGTGATCTGAATGTAGATAGTTCAAATTCTTTACCAAAATACTGAAAGTTGCTAATGAACTCAAACAACAAAGGGATCAGCTTGTTGGGATGGGATGGGTTGGGCAGGTTACACACTGCTGAATCTCCAGAGAGACTCCTAACAGGGAGAGGTCTCAGTTGAGGACATCTCACAGGGGGCACAGAAGAACATAAGTCACTCCAAGCCCTTACAGTGACAGTGGGCACAGCACCAGCAAACACAAATGGAAGAGAACAAGGAAATCAGGTATATTCAAGTGAGAGTTATTTTTATGTGCAGACCTGCACACCTACTGTGTCTACTCCAGAGTTATGGCTAAGATCTCTTTTTGGCTCATCCGGCTCATTCAGCTCTGAACTCAGCTCTGTGGAGTCCTGCTGTATCCTCAAAATGCCAACACAACTCAGCAGAATGATAGAGAAATTCCACAGAACATTAATTATTTGCTTCCACACTGTGGTAATCACCTCCAAAAAGCAAATTGGAGAGGATCAGCCAGCACCAGCATATGCCAGCAGATGCTGTTGTGTTTTCTGAGCTGGCCCACTGATTCAAACACTCTGGTCAAATAGAAGCAGTTTAGACTATTAATAGTAGCATAAGGGAAAGGCATCTCTATTTTGCTTGTGAGCTGCCTGTGTCCCTCCCTTTCTCACTCTGTCCTCCTTCCCAGCTGTTATGTGGTGGCTAAATTAAACATGAGGAACAAGCAGAACAGGTCACAGCTTACATCAGATATTTCCAAAGTGATTTGAGGACAATTGACCATTATGTACCTGCAACACACAGTAAGCAGACATGAAGGTTAAATATGAGGCTTTTCTACCCGTAAGACACCAATCTTGTATGTATACACAGAAAAAATAGCAATTGCGTTTCAGACAAGCTAAGAATTTGGCTCCCCAGACAGAACCAACCAGCCTATGGTTACAAACACCTCATTTGCTTTCTGGGGGCTCTACCTCCACAGGAGTGGCACCGAAGTAGTAACACACCTCGATGTCGTTGCCCACACTCAACACAAGATTCATGTTGCTGAAGCTGCCAGGCTCTGACACCAGTCATATACCTTGGAGAGACATCGAAAGACCGCCTTGGATGGGCTGAACATCTCTCCCATCTCTTTTTCTTCACATGACCCCTATGTCTTTGCCAACATCTTGAAGGACTCAATAGAAACCTGAGGTTCATACAGGATTGCACAAAATGCCCCCAGACCTGCCCCATCTTTGTCTGAAGTCAACATCCACCTGAATTCTTTGTATTTCTTTATATTCCTTATTTACATATCTAAAAACTGTTGAATGAGGCTCTGAAACCTTCTCTACCACAGTTTAGTCCCTTCAGGTCCCAAAGGAAAAAGCAGTTTTTCCCAGTGGTTAACATTAAGGAAATTTGAGCTGGTTGGTCTGTTGGGAATTCCCTTCAGAATTGTCTTTTAAGCTTTTTTCCTGAAAGTTGGAAGCAATTTGTTGATCTTCAAGAAGCAGATTATAGGAAAAAAAGAGTTAGAAAAACTCTATCATTCTGAGATTTTTGTTAGGAAAAAAAAAATCAAAATCTGTTTCTGTTTTAGCAAGAACCAACTTTGCTGTTCTTGCATAAAGCTATGATGAAGTACATTGTAGGATCAAGACATCATGGAACATGAATATTACTTTGTTAAACTCTTCAGCACACAGCTGAGTCTGATGAAACTACTCCAGAAGGAGACACTTGTCACTGAAGACATTTTGTCTCACTGTTACAAAGTTGGCTCAGCAATATTTAACTGATGACTCATTATTTTGCACATTATTTCGAACCCTGGTCATGCACAAGGACCCCCATAGCAGGCATAGCATGAACATGGAACAAAGAGGCACCTTCTGCTCCCAAGAACTCCTAGTCCTTGTAGAGGACTGGAGGGGCAGATGGAGACAGACAGAGGGTGAGATTAAAGGGACCAGACAGGACATGCTGTCAAACTTTGAGTAACCATCACAGCTAGGGAGAGATCTAACTGGGACTATGAGTCTATGATATTCATATAAAAAAAAAACAAAGCTCCAAAAGATTTTAAGCATCCCGTGCCCATTCCACACTATTATTCCGAGTGAGATCAAATGTGGGAAAAGGAGATTACTGAAATAGAAAGAGGCTCTTTGGGGCTGTGAATGTTGCAGTGCCCCCAGGGATCCCTGGGAGAAGCTCTACAGAAGTTCATATGTGGGGAGAGGATCAGACTTTGAGCCATCAGCCAGAAATCCGGAGAAGCTGAAGCTGCCTCAGTCAGTTCTAGGAGGAAACAGTGGGAAGTGAAAATATATCGAGACCTGACTTTTCACTTTTACCTTGCTCACCAGATGTATTTTGGAAAATGATTGGAGGAAGAGCTGTTCTCCCAAAACCCCTGGGTGTCACCAGTGCCCACCCCGGGGCCAGGGGATCCCTGGCAGTAGCTGCTCTCACGTCGGAGTGTGCCTGCCCTTCGCATCTCTGCTCTTTTATATCTCGTCTCTTGGCACTCTCCGTCCCGTCCACCTCTTCCCTTTGCATTCCTCCTCTTTGCAACTCTGCCTTTGCATCCCTCCCCTTTGTATCCCTCCCTTTTCACCTCCCCCTTTGCACCTCTCTCACTTACATCCCTCCCCTTTGCCTCTCTGCCCCCTTCGCATCTCTGCCTTTTCCCATCCCTCCCCTTTGCATCTCTGCCCCTGCACACCCCCTGTCCCTCGACTCTCTGCATCTTCGCCCCTTTGCACCCCTGCCTGCTCGGTCCTCAGCCCTTCGGGCATCTGTCCCTTGCACCCTCCACTCCTCCCTCCCGCCCCTTTGCATCCTCACCCTTTCGCTCCCCTGCCCGTTCGCATCTCCGCCTCGCTGCCTCCCTTCCCTCTCCCCCCGGCACCTCCTGCACCTCTCCCGCACCCCCTGTCGCCCGCAGCCTCCGGGGCAGTCCGGCAGCGCCTCCGGGCCGCTCCAGCCCCCCTGACCCCCGTCCCCTGCCCTGCCCGCCCGGCCCGGAGGCCCCGCGATGCCGCCCCCGCCGCGGCTGCTGGCGCTGCTGGCGCTGGTGTTGGGGCTGGGTCCGGGGGTCCGGGGGGGTGCCGGGGGAGGCTGCCAGCTGCCCGCGGAGTGGCGGCCGCTCAGCGAGGGCTGCCGGGCCGAGCTGGCCGCGATCATCGTCTACGCGCGGGTGCTGGCGCTGCACCCCGACCCCTACGGCGCCTACAACTACCTGCCCTGGCAGAGGGACCCCCCCGGCGGCCCCCAGCAGGGAGCGGGGGGCCTCTTTTACTCGGCCGAGATCGAGCTGCTGTGCGACCAGGCGTGGGGCAGCATGCTGGAGGTGCCCGCCGGCTCCCGCCTCAACCTCACCGGCCTCGGCTACTTCTCCTGCCACTCGCACACCGTCATGCAGGGCTACGCTTATTTCTTCTTCCTCCGGTGAGTCCCGGGATAGGGGTGTGCGGGGAAGGGGGTGGGATACCGTGTCCCGGCTCCAGGGCATCTCCCCGGGCGGGGGGGATGCGTACCCGCCCCTGCCCGGAGGGTTCTCTCCACCCCGCTACCTCTCTCCTCGCAGCGCCTTCTGCTTTGCCTTCCACCTACAGTTTCATTGGAAAAAAAAACAACTCCGAAACTCCAAAAGCCCATAATATTCCAGTATTGCCGGGCAGCAGATGCACGGGGAGCTGCTGTTGAGTAGCTCCTGGATGCTGTTGCTTTTGTTTTTACGGCGGGACGGTCACGGAGCTGGAGAGAGGCCAGATCCAAAGTTTGGCATGGGAGTTTAAAACCCATCCCCAGATACTCACCCGATAGCTTTCCATCGACTCTCCCGAGTCCCAGCCAAACCCTGACTTTGGGCTCATCGAAAGACTAAGAAAATAAACCACAATGTTGGAACAGAGCCATCACCGTGACCTTTCAATCCAAGAGCGTTTGCGAAATACTACTCAGTGGCTTGTTTGAAATACTTGGTATATTCTTACACTGGGTACGTAATGAAACTCATTTTGATGCTGTCTAGGGCTTAGTCTGTAGTAATGTCTTTAAACACATTTTACAGAAGTTATTTATTGACTGTTTGAAGGAGTACTTAAACTCTGGGATCGAGGGCAAAGTGATGCAAATTCAGTAGGAGCTATGGCTCAAAATACAGATTTGCCTCCTTTACGGGGTTTCACTGGTGTCTGCAGGGTTGTAGGAGCCTATTAGTTCATTACTGCTGCTGTCTGATCCAGTTCCCATGGTGGAAATAGCCATCTTGGAGACTTAAGTGCCAGGAGACCTGAGAGTGATTTGTCAACTAAAAGTCTGTGTGACTTCGGTGGCACTTGTTAAGCCAGGCTGAAGTATGATGGGTGACTTCTACAGGAGAGAAAGTGCTGTTCATTCTCACAGTGCAATTTGTGTTTCAGAATGGATGAGAACTACATCCTCCTGCCTCATGGAGTCAACTTCCAGGAGGCGATTTTCCCCGATACCCAGGAGAACAGAAGGATGTTTGCCAGCCTTTTCCAGTTTTCGAACTGCTCACAGGCACAGCATGTGCTGAGCTTCTCCAGTGACTGGGAGATTCAAGAGGACAACCGGGTAAGGGATTTATTTCATAGAATCATAGAATCGATTGGGTTGGAAAAGACCTCTGAGATCATCGAGTCCAACCCTTGGTCCAAATCCAGTCCATTTACTAGATCATTTGCTCTCCAATGCTTATTTTCTAAGCGGGCCACAGGCATTCCCATGTCTTTTGTGAACATATGTATAAAAATGTAGGTCCCTGATTTTCCTTTTCCTTAGGTGGTGGTATCACTGACAAAGTAACACACTGGTGGGAAGATATTAAACTCTGTTTTCAAAGCTGGCCTCTGTGTTAGCTCTTTAGCTTCCGGTGGACCTGTGCAAAGCTTGGTATCAACTTGTTCATGAAGAATAGATTAAAAACCAGTATTGCTTGTAATCCTGTCCTATTCCACCCAGATAATTCCTGGGTTTGCTATCTCTAGACCCCATTCTTTAACTTCAGCTAAAATGTTCAAGAGCAGAGCTTTGCTTTTGTACTTCTGTGTTCATCTCATGTAGCGAGAGCAGTGCCTGGACCACAACAGACTGTAAGGGATTATTCTTGCCTGACTCCACATAACAGCATAAACATCTACTGAACTAATCGCCCTAAGCTGTCTTTGTAGCTGCTGGGGGAAAAGAGTCTCTTGAGGGCACGTTTCATCTGAGCCATGAGGGCATGGTTTGTCTGAGCAATGCCAGCACTTACTTCTGAACAAGCTGAAAGAAATGTCTCTTTCTCCCTTCAAGGGAGGCCACAGCAAGTAGTTCACCCACTAGGCAATCCTCCCTTAAGAAAGTACAGAAAGTCCAACGATGCCCACTGTTAGTGGCTTCTGAGCCCCTTTTATAGGACTGTAGTGTGTGTAATAATGCAGGATTTTAATAAATACTTATTTGGCAGAGAGCAGCAACCTGTTGTTATGTGCGTGCACGTTCTGGATGTGCATGTACTTTTGAAGAAGTGGAACTTGGGGAGCTGGTTTAGTGCCAAACCTTGTTTTGTGAGGCCTGTGGTTTCCCCTGGTAGCTGAGAACATTATAAGCATCTCTTCAGGTCAGGATGGACAGGACAGGTGTCATCGCTTGTGCCTTCCGTGGCTTCACCCAGGGCACGATGTTTATGTATGGCAGCAGATGCACAAGTGGCTTGTTTGGGAGATGGATGGAGGGAGTTCAGTAGCTGTCGAAGCCCTTTCCTTTCACCAGCTGGCTGAATGCCAGCATACAAAGTTTGAGCTGCTGTGTGGCCATCTGGCTGGTGACACAGCCCCTCTCCTTGGGATGCCCCATGAGTGAGTGTTTTCTCACTGCCGATATTTTGGGGAGGGAGTGGGCAATGGTCCTGTCCCCTATTTGGGGACAGCAGCAGGAATTGATGTTTAAGAGAAAATGAATCATCTTACAATTAGATTACAGAGCTGTAACCCTGACTAGGCAAGAAGGGGGAGGTAAAGAGCCCTGGTCCCAGCCCTGCCTCCTCTGTGCCAGCCCCCAGGCTCCCCAGTGCCCCAAGCAACAGATTTGGCAAGTAAAAGTGCTGCTGCTGCCAAATCCATGGATTTTTCTCCAGGGGAGCAAAGTGGCATTGAGGGACCACCAGATCCAACTGCCAGTGCCTGACTGTGATGCCTCTGCACTGTTTATTTAGTCGTGCTGAGCTCATTGTAGGGGACCTTGATGGGTTGGTGCTCCTTTATGCCAGCAGTGACTCTTGCCAGTCAGATTTAATGGAAATCACAAGGCAGAACCCCCCAGGGTAAGTTGGGGCAACCCTGAGCACATGTATCAAAAGTGCATTTCAGCTGTTGCTCTCTTTGACCCTGCAGCTGTGACCAGACCAGGGGGTCAGCTGCTGGTCCTGTAGACTGGGGCCGGGGGCTTTGCATGCTTTAACACCCACCCATCCAGGGAACAAATTCAGCACAACTGATGGACACTTTGTCTCCCCTTCATAATGCAAAGTAAAAGCTTCCTCTGCACCAGTTAAAAATAGTTCAGGCTGACTGTGCTCCCATTCAGCTCCTGCATCTGTGTTTGCCCAGCCGAGCGCCGGCTCCTCGAGCCTGCGTGCCCCAGCCTGGGAAGGGGATGACATTTCTGGCTTCTATGATATTAGGAATTTGTTCCCCAGATCTTCTCAGTGCAGGTGTCTGTGTCCAGGGTGCATCTCTCTTTAGTGTTTTGCTTCTCTCTCTGCCTTGTTACATCCAGAGGTGGCTTTCCCAATTGGCACCATGTCTACTCACATCCCGTCACAGTGTAAACAATTTCCATTTCCGAGTGTGCTCAGCTGAGCTGCCCCGTGGTGGCTCCTAAGATGAAATCTGTGGCATGTGCTAGCTTCATGGCGCAGAAAGTGAGCATAACTCAGAGCATTATTCTCTAAGTGTTTTGAAAAGGAGGTTCTTCGGGAGCCTGGGGTCATCCAAAGGGGGGTTCTGTGATGGTGTCAAGTTATGGAGAGCTTGGACAGAGAGAGAAGGGTCTTCCGATGAGGCTCACACTGCAGTGAGGAGTCAGGGACCTCACCACCTGTGGTGTACTGACAAAAATTGTGAGTTAAAATACATCATGAATATTTTGTGCAGTCAGAGAGAAAGCAATGGAAATGTTGAGATCCTCAGAGCAGAAGGCAGCTGAGATGAAGGTCTCATTCCAGGAGTTAATAGGTAGGGTCCTGTCTGTGGATCTTGGAACAGCTGCATGCAGGGACACCTTAAAAAGCAACTCTGTCAAAAACCAGTGCGCCTGAGTAGGTCTGGATGAAATCTCCTGTTTACAGCTGGATCTCATACTCTGAAAGACTTTTTGAATCCCTGTATTTGCTTATGGCCCTGTGCCCTGGCCTTGATATATTTCTGGGGTGGTCATTTCAAAGGAGACTTCAACTCTGTGCAGTTGCAATGAATAATTCATGTTGGTAGCTCTGGGGTGCTCAGCCAGAATGTGAGAGAGCCCTATGATGGATGAGTGTCTTTGCCTCATGTAATGCTGCTCCCAGCAAAAGGTACCTTCTGCAGGATGTTCCTCAGCTGGCCACAGAGCAGGTGACCCAAAGGTGACCACTGACATGTTGTCCTGCTTGCCCTCTTCTCTCTGCAGTGCTCCTTGTTGCAGCGAGCCTTGTCTGGGCTTTCACAATGGGTAAAACGAGGAAAATCCTGACAGCTTTTTTTCCTCCTTCCAGCAAATGTGTCTGATGATGCAAAATAGAATAAAGAGATGTGCAGGAACTTTTTGATGCACTGGGATATGCCACCTGCCTTCTCCCTCACAGGCAAACCTTTACAGTTTTCAGAAAGCCCCAAGGCATGTGGTGAAAGGAGGCCAGACCCAAGGCACATCTCACTGGGGATAATACATTCCTCATCCTGAGCCTGCTGCTCTTGCTGGAAGCTAATCACAGCTGCCTTTTTAAGCCCCTTGCAGTCTGGGCTGAGGGCCAGATGCTGCTTTCCACAGTCTTCCAATAATCCCACAATCTCATAAATTCACTCAGGTGCTTGTTATGGCCACTCCAGAGAGCAATGATAGCTCCTGCTGTCACTTCTTTTGACACTTGCATTTTGGCTTTGGCATTTGCAGAGGCAATAATTAATTGAGCCCCATCTTGACTTTTATCTCAGTTCCTTAGAGATCTTTGCAGACCTCCTGCTTTACTCCATCTCATTGCTGCAGTGATTTCCACAAGATTGTTGCTAAAACATGAAGGTCCCACCAGGCTTGGGGTTGGAGCTGAGTTTGTAATGAGTGGCCGCAACTTCTTGCAGAGCGAGGGGCTCCTTCTTGCAGCACATTGCAAGTATCTGGGTCCCAGGTTTGGTCCAGTCCCAGAACTGATGTTCATGGAGGTGATAACACAGGAACACCCTTTTTATTCTCTTTCAGGATTACAGTTTTAGATGATTTTTCCCACCCTCTGCCTCTGGGAGAAATGCATTATTTACCTATCCAGGGAACCTTGCAGACAGCAGTTTTTATTAAGGTGCTTTTATTAAAGAAAGAAACAATTAAGCAGCAATACAAACCTAACTAAAATTCTTAGAAGTTCCATGTTTTAGCCCACATCTCATGTCAATCCCTGAGGGAAGGCCTGCAGATGTATCAAGGGATTTGTGAAATGTGACAGTGGCCGTGCCAGGCTTTCCTATGCCTGCCAGCATGCAGATTCCTGCCTCAGGAAACCACTAGACATCCCTTTATGTTTTCCCCCTTGATTCCCTCAGTATTCCTAAAATTTCCCACAAGTCCCTGCATGCCACCCAGTTATTCTTTTGTGCAGCTGTTAGTGCTGATGTTTCATTGCTGGTACTTTTAGGGAGCAGCCTTGTGACCTTTTCTTGCTCAAAAGGATTTCTATCAGTGGTGCAGGGATGGAAGGGGGGAATGGGAAAGTCCCAGAGGCTCAGGTGGCACCCGCATATTCCGATACCTCTTTCTCACAACACACTTTTCATATGGCTGAAGTGATAAAGGACATTTTTCTACATGCAGGGGATCGATTTCTGCTTGCTCAAGCTGGGGAGTGGGAACTGTCCGTGTTGTTTTATCTCTCACAGTGCCTGCTGCCAAGCCTGGGGATGATGCAGTAGGTTGGGATTGAAATCTTGCCCCCCCACCAAGAGTTTTTAGTGCAAGTTTGGGGGCTGTAATTTCTCCTCCTGACTTGGCCTTCTGCAGAGTTGTCTGGTCTCATAAAGACCTGGTTGCCCTTCCTGCATATGAGAGATTACACCGAAGTGACTTGAGGTCTGGTGTCAATAAGGGCCATAGAAATGTGTAATAGCACTTGTAGATATTTATTATTCAGGGGGGCTTTAACTCCTGGTTTTATCAACAGCTGGATAGGGAAATGTGGTCTTTTGGTCTCCCCTTTTATTCATGCAGGAGCATTGCAAAATGATCCCAAGTGCATCAAAACAAGGGAATAATGGCAGTGTCCAACCAGTCATGAGCAACAGCGAGAGCCCTAGCGCTGAGATAAAGCCCATGGAAATTAAGGAACCCAATAACTTCAGCTAAGCTCG